TCAGTCCCAGAACAGAATTCAGGGTTTTGTGATTTCCACTCTGATATTTAGCTCATGCCTCTTGAGAAAGCAAGGCAAGTCAGGAGTCAGCAGGCGAGGAAACCACACTGGAATTTTTGAAAAAGCCCCCAGCCACTGTGTGGTATTTAGGCATCTAGTTAAAAATCTAGCCCATAGCAAAGCAGAAGCAACTCTTAAATCCAGTGCTTTTTGCTGGCTAAAAAGAATAAAAACCCACTTTAGTTCTGAATAAAAGCGTCTAAACAAAGATTTCATGCGTTCTGATTAATTCACTTTAAAATTGCATCAGTGGAATCTGTACAAACTTCTCAAATGCAACTATGCAGACTACACCTCTGCTTAGCCACTCATTGGAGATGGCATCAAACTTCACTAAGGAGTCTGAAAGAAAATGAAACAGAAATATAAAATAAAAAATACAAACATGACAGTTCTTCAAGTTGATGCTTCCTGGTTGCCAACTGAAACCAGAATTAAAATAAGTAAATCAATTCATTCTATTGTTCAGCAGCAGAATGCAATCATATGTTCCAAGAACCATGAGCATTTAAATATTATAAGACTTTGAAGTCTGTGACAAAAAGTAACAGACATTTCTGTGCAAGTTTGAAAAAAAAAAAACACAAATACGGAGCACAAAAACTGGATTCTCTCCACTTCATGGTAATTCCCCTGCATTCCCTCTCTTCTTCCTTCGCTCCCTCCTGGGAGGTTAATTGTAAGCAGATTTACAAATCTGAACATTGCTTCAGTGCTCTGAAGCAATCTGGAACAATAATTTTGTGCCTTTATAAACATAATTTTGCTCTGTTACAGCTTACTGCAGACAAGGTTTATGCTAGTACGGAGGGCTTCTCTGCATCACACCCTGGTATGCGGGCTGGGTGCGTGTCTGAGGGGGACACGGTGCACGCTGCACGGTGGCAGTCCTTGGAGCCTGCAAATTTTATAAAAAGGAATGGAAGTGCTGGGCTCAGCTGAGCAGTTGTGGCAGAAGGAAGCTCCATTTTGTTCCCCCTTGTACCCTGCAATAAATCCAGCTTAGGTTTTCTTTAAGGGAAGGCTTCACCTTACAAAGGGTATGTTCCAGCATCCTGCTTGAAAGACTGCGTTATTTTTTGAGTTTTGCCCAGCTTCCCACGTGCCCCCTTAATTGCAGGAGGCAACGCCGTACGCGTGACCCCTCGCCAGCTCCTGAGGACCGAGGTCCGTGCATCCAGGCAACAGCGTGCTTCTTGCTGACACCTGGGGTCAGCCCAAGGAGGGTGCTTCAACGTCAGCTTAGAGATCACGTAATAGAAGGGCAAAGGTTAGTTTCCTAAGGCTCTCCATCACATAATGAGCCACTGTCAGCCTTAGTAGCCTTCTCACTTCAGCTGCAGCCAAAAAAAAAAAAAAAAATCCTGTGTGATCACCATTGTCTCTACATGTTAATTAAAAAAAATTAACAGGCTGGAAGGGTAAGAAGGATAGAAATGGCTTGGAGTTGGATCAGAGCCTCAGCTGCACCTACACTGAGCACCCACACATGAACTGACGCGGGACAGCCACGACAACGAACCCAAAACTTGATGCACTGCTGGTAGAGGGGCTGGCTCCGGGCCGTTACACTGAGAGCTGCAGCTCAGGTTGCAGGGACACAAGCTCAGCAGTTTCTGAAGGAGGGGGATCAGATGAAAGACAGCAGGGCTTTATTTCAAGCTGTGTTTTGCCCTGTTGTAGGATGATAAGACAGTCATCACTAAGTCGTTTCCCCTCACACCCTTTGTCTTGTCTATTTGGAGCACAAACATTTTGCAACAGCAACTGCACACTAAAAGACAGTCCCTACACTAGTGGGATCCAGTTTCAGGGGGTCTTGCAGATATTATCACAAGGCAAATAGCTCCACTCCTGCCCTGGAGGCAGTCTTGTTATTGACCTCTCTTGATCAGATCTGGGGAGTAACATGGGGTCGGAAGATAACTTTTTACCCCCTACACAAACAAAACAACCTATAAAGAAATGCAAATTTGATGCATTCCTTCATCATCTCACTTCATTCTCTAAAACAAGATAAAAGCATACAAGAAATGCTCAGTAACTCTTCTCTTCCAAAACACTGGCCCTCCATTCTTAAAGTCTTACTTATCACACTGGCTGGGCAGCCAGTTCTCATCTCATCTCAGATGTTTGTGTGTAAAGCTCATTAAGCTCCAAAGGAGTTGCATATGCAAGTACTTTTGCATGCCCTTTAAAGGCAGAACAAATAAACACAGGACTGTAGGGTTTAAGCACAGATTATTCTGTGTACTGAGATACTGCATTTACTCCTCCTTAGCTCCTGGGAACAGACCTTGTGGTTCCTGTTTGCAGCTGCCCACCACGACTACTTTCCCCATTCGGGACTGGTGTGAGCACTGTAGGCTTGTTTCCCTATGAGATTTCTCTGATACTTTTTTCTGTCCTTTGTTCATGGCTTTCACGTTACAAGGTAACAGAACTGTAAGACAGAAAAACAAAATGTGAATAAGGTTCTGGGGAAAAATAAAAACCCTCCATCTGGTAAGAAAAAGCCCACTGACAAATGTGCCTTTGTTTACATAAACTTCTAAAGAAATGGAGTTGAAACCTGGAGACACGTATGAAAGAAGGTCAGATAAGAAAATAGTTTTTCAAATCTCTGAAGAGATGAAAAGCTCATGTTTATGAAGGGATAACACAGAATACTTCAGACTTAGTTCTTAAACCCAGAAGACAAGACACACTGGATTCAAACTGATGACATTTAAAATAATTTCTCTATTCCTTTGCAAATGCCTTCTACAGAAATGCAGCCAGAAGACATCCCTCACTTCTCCCCAGTATCCTCTGTTCCCCCTCCAACCTGCTATCCACCTTTCAGTGCCTGTAGTGGTTTGAGATAAAGGCAACTGCCAAAGGGCAGTTTCACTCAGTTCACCCAAGGAAATAGGCAGAGCAAAACCTTAATACTTGCTGGCAAAGCTTCAGCTACCCTATGGGAGAAAACAATCCATCACCTAAAAGGCAGTAAGTCTTTATACTTTACCCTAAGTAACTTTGGTTAATGTGTTAGAAATACTGCTGATATTTCCAAAACCTACTCTGATGTGACGTTACATTTAATAAGATTACTACTTCGCGTCAGCAACAAAATCCTTAAGAATTCAAGATCAACAAGCCCTCGTTGAGAAAAGTGAGAAAAGTGTTTCTCTTCCAAACTGCACTGTACTGATTTTATCAAGGAAAAAAGCTTCTGCGCACAGATATATATGCGGTCAAATACCTATCAATAAAATCCTCCTCATTCAATCTTACATCTTTGTGCATCTTTGTATTTAGCCTACCTTCTCCTTTACTCCCATCATGGTCTCCACTCCAGCAAATCTATACATAAGTATAGATAAGTGCACTTCAGACACATGAGAAAACTAGAAAACCCAACAAGGACAGTGAAATCATGGAAATCCTAAGACCTCCTCCGCTAGTTGCTTGAAACTTGATGTTGGCCCTTTTCAGTAACCACAATTTCAGATTTCCATGAAAAGGAGTTGGAAACACTGCAAAGTGGTCCTAGAGATGTACCTGGTTCTTTCTCTGCTCGTCAACACTCCTCCTGTGAGAGGAGAGGAAGGAGAGGGTGGGAGAGAGAAATAGGATGCAAACAGGAGGGACCTGTGTGACTTTTGGACCTCTTCAGCCCCTGCCCAAGTATGGAGAAGGGAACTACTGGGAAGTCCCACACAATTCAGGAAGGAGGAATGCTAAGGATGAGAACTGGTTTAAAATCACAGTTCAGTCATGAACATCTCATCAGTGTAATTTTTTTTTCCTCTGGTCTTAAAGTCTCTCCAAAGAACTCCTGTAGGTGAATTAAAGTAAAAGAAGTGGTGTTGGGCAATCTTCCCCTCTCTCTTATGCACATGCTGCAAATTTCTGTAGTGTTTATTATTGGAATTGTCAGGAACATCACTGAAGTAAAAACCCTCAACAATCAAACAAATCACTACACCAAAGACTTTGCTACTGCAGTCACTCCAATAAAAAATGATAAAGTTTCAGAAGCATTAACCCATAGGGATTTGAGAATAGCTTTATTAGCTAAATTTTCATGCTTGACAGGGATATCAATAAACTGGAAAAAGAGAAAAATCACAGATTTCTACCTAACTATTTTAAAATGTTAATTTAAAGGGCAAACCAGAGATTTCTGGAAACGAAGGGAGAGGAAAATCCTTTGGGTTTTTTGTGCACTTGGCAGCACTTTTACATAGTCAGGTTTACTGGCTTTGCTGGTTTAGAAGAGGATTTGCCAGCTTGTTTCACCTTTCAGAGAGGCTCCAGCCAGTAAGAACAGAAGACTCAATGCCATTGTACTGTCAGTTTTTGTAAAATGGCACAAACGGGCGTTACCGCTAAAAGAAGGACCTCTGGCACAAACACCTGTGCTGGTGCGAGGGAGAAGGTGCAACGCTGAAGAAGGCTGCTGCCTGCTGCACGAGAGCCAGTGGGAAGCTCTTGTGAAATCAAGCCTAGCAAAGCCACAGGTCTACAGGGCAGAGGAAGGATTGAAACCAAGCTTAAGAAGCCAGTGCTGTCCCCCTTACACCCCTGCCCCAAGAAGCCATTTCTAGACCAGATGGGAGGTAAGCCAATCTTAAAGCAAGTATCTGTGGGTTTGTTCTTTTAGAAAACCTGGTGAAATTACCCAACTGGGCATTCTCACACCCACACAGGGTGGCCACGCTGTAGTGCTGCACTAAAAGTTCTTAACTGATGGCATTTAGACTGCAAAGTTAAGGACTGAGAGGTTCGTAAAGTACAGGTCTGAAGTTGTGTACAAAATTCATACTCCTTTCTCTGCGTATGAATGCAGATACTGGCTTCAATCACATAATTGCACAGTGTTTTTCTCCCTTGGGACTGCCACATATACGTAGGATATGACAAACAATAAATTGTTTCTGAAGACAACTTACATTCTTTGGACATTCCCACTTCAAAGCACTTCTGTAGTCTGCAGTACTGGCAGCGATTTCTGGTAACTTTATTGATAACACAGTTTTTATCTCTGTGACATGTGTAAACCATGTTCTTCTGGATACTCCTGCGGAAAAAGCCCTGAAATCAAGAAAGAAAGAAATCAAATAAACTTTTGAGCTTCCCATAACCCTTAGAGACAGGCACTAACATTGCTTTAAAATAACAAAATAAATTCAAAGTTATGGCTGCAGTATGGCATCTTTGAAGACTCAGTCTTATTATAATTTAGTACTGTTTCTTGCAACATAAGACTCATCTCTTAAATAAAAACTAATTAAATAATGCAACCTAAGGCCAAAATAAGCAAAGCTAGAACTAGTAACAGCATTCAGGAAATTAAGTCCTAGATTTTACGAAAAAGCTCAAATAAAAATAGTTTGGGCTTATGGATGTAGTAATGAGTTGGGTAAACAACAGCCTTCCTAACAGTTCCACTTGGAAGTCAAGCACTCATCCAACAACTGACAGCCTCTCTCAGCTTAAAGGTCCTGTCTATTTTTGCTACTGCAGAGATTCTCTAGTTTGAAGGCTAAATGTAAAAAGAGAAATAATTTGAAACCCAGGTCTCTTAGCTGCTGGAACTCCTACAGCAATTAATGAGGCTTCTGCAGGTGGAAGAGTTCCAGCATCAGGTTATTGAGTTGTGAACTTGTAAAAGTTGCCAATTACAGCATTTTTTTCTTATTCAGATACAGCTGTGAAAATAATCAAGTAATTACAATGATCTTGAACAGAAATTAAGGAGAGCTAGAGGTCTGGTTTATACTTAAGGAACACCATTTGACTGGATTCCTCCTTCAGCAAGTAAAAGAGAGAAAAACAGCCATAAATGGCAAGGTTTGCTGGCACAGAAAAAAGGCAAAAACCAAGTTAATTTCTTTATCTGCACTAAAAACCAAGCTTCAGATAACACCGTATAATAATGAAGGAAAAAAAAAAAAAGAGGATTACTTCAATCATTTTAGAGTTCAACCCACAGATATTCAGTGAAAGTATTTCTGCAACAGACATTTGGAAATTTGACAGCACTATTTAACCTTCTCACTCAGATTTTGAAAATTGTTTCAGCAAGCACCAGGGTCAAATTTCAGTCAACGTCATAGCATTATGGAAGAATAGTTAGCAATTTAATATTTGTTGGAGGGCTTGAGAGGTTAAAACTCTTCAACAAGCCACATGTTTACACCCTACGGGGAAGCGGTAAACTTGATGCTGCAGATGATAGCTCTGTGCCCACAATGCATTTGTCTAAAGATGCAATCATGGTAAGCTATCAAACTGGCTCTCCTAGAAGCACTCATCGAGATATGCGAACAGTTCAAAAGCCAAAAACCCTATCATTCAGAGTTAACTGGGAGAGTTTCTGGCCATATGATCAGGGAGTGGTAGGGCAGGCACAGTCAGTAGGGCTGGTCATAAATTCCTTGCACACCCAACATGCTATAGATGCTAATGTTATGAAAATACCTCAAATTCACTCAGAACTGAAAAATGCCTCCTCAATCACGTAACCCCTGGCAATAGTTTTCTGCAGCTCTTGCACAGGCAAGCCTCATCCTGAGATTAGCTCCTCTGATTTTAGGAGATACTTAATACTACCATCAAAGAGGTAAATAAAAACTCTTTGCTCCCTTCTTTTCCTTAAGCTAGTGGACACAGAATAGGAATTTAAAGCTATTTGTTTAGACAATTAAAACCTTTTAAGTTATCAATAACACTGCTATTTTATATTCCACACTTTTGAACATTAAAACTGCTTGAATCTTTGCAATGCAAGTATGACAAGTGTATGTACATTTGTTCACTTGCCGAGAAGAAAATGTATGGTAATACTTACTGTTTTCTTGCTTTGATATTCCCCTAATGATGATGCCCGCTCCGCAGTAATTGCTTACGATGCTAACTAGAAATGTGAGAAGTCTATGGCGTCTATTTTGGTTTAATTCAACAGACAGGAAGTGTGAGCTGTGCTGGTTCAAGGGTCTCTATAGGACTTATTTGGTCACCACTTTTTAGCTGCAAAGAGGTAGAGGAAGCCAAGACTGGTCGCTTTCCCCTGCAGCCACCCCAGCTTAATCCAGTGCTGCATGTAAATTAACACCCACAGTCACCGATGGAACAACTCTCCTACCACCAGCCTGACAGGGCAGGAGACAAAATGGCTTGAACAAACAAAAATGACCCTCTCATGCAGCAACTGTCTCATCACGCTGAACAACTGAAGGAATTTAAAAAAAAAAAACAGCCCCCAAAACCTTCTCTTTGCCTGCACATACTTTGGGGCAGAGGCTGCCGTGCACCCATGCTTGAGACTTCTGGTTTACTGACACAGGCACCACTTGAAATGAACTATGAGCTTCAAAAGTGTCACCCAATACAGGGAAAAGAGGAAACAGCCTCCTCCAGATATACCTGTACTTCACCAAAAGGAAACCACTAGCTAATGGCACCCACTGATTGATCAGTTGTTCTGATATTTAGACACAAGTTCTGCATCCTTTTAACCTAGGGTTTAATTACAGCCCATCAGGAAGGAAAGCAGAGGAGGCTCTCTCAGTTATACAAAGTTGACCACACAGCCCAACAGAAAAAGGTGATCCAACTTCTGCAGACAGCAACTATAAAGCATTCATGAACTCATTACTAATATAAAAGGCTTAAAAAGAAGAAACTCGGAAAATGCAGGTCTCCAGGTTGAAATGAAGACAGTTTCTTCAACAGCCTGACCTCCCCAGGCAATGTCCGACACAGAGTGAAAGATATAGACAAAGGTGTTGTGGAAGCTTAGGCTGTTGTTTTACAAACTGCTTTTTAACACCTGCATTTGCTTTTCTTCCTGGAGTTACTCATGAAACAGAAAGAAAAAAGAGCTTGTTTATGTGAAATACCCAGGTGAAAAAAGGCATAATGTGGTTCTGCTCAACACTAAGGACCTGCTTCTCAACAGCACGTTCGTGCCCACTCCCCGACTACTCCTTAAGAAAACACGTGGATACTATTTCTACTAAGATTTGTGGCAAGGCCACTGTAAAACCTCAGCAACATGTCACTGAAAAGATTTGATCTTCAAAATTTCCTCTGGACAGGCACTAAGAAAAATGCCCAGATTACAAGTATTACTTAATTTCTTTGCATACAAACCCCGAACCAAAGCCACCACGTGGGGAGTGCCAGGACGCGGCGCAGCGGCGGGCGAGGAGCACTCGCTGGGCACTCCGCAGGCTGGTGCCGTGCAGCCACGCGCTTCGGGTGGCCCTGCAAGCAGGGTCATGCTCAGAAATATTTCCCGAGTCTGATACTAGGCTAAAAAAAAAAAGGACAGAGTCCAGTCTACCCCCCTGCGGGGGTTTGCACCTCACCTGCTTTGGTTACCTGCGGCTCGGCAGCGAGGGAAAACGCCGCAGGACACAGGGATGGGCAGAGCGGGCAGCAACCCGGCTCGCTGCCTGGTTAAACAGAAAAGCACAGTTAAACCAGTATAAGGCTGGGTTCCAGACAGCACAGGTATAATACACTGGCCTGTTCACTAAAAATAGCAAAGTTAGAAGCAGGCCTAAGTTTTCCTCCAAGCGCTTGTTGTCAAATGACTTCCATCTGATCTCACAACCCCAACAGTTTCTTCAAAACCCAAGAAAATCTGAAGGCGACCTAACCTTTAGAAGTTGTCAGAAACTTCAGAGACAGCAAACCACCACTGCTTATAAATTAATCAACTTCAAGTGCCTACTGGCTTCTGGAATACAAAGTTACTACTTACTGTAAATACCTTTACCTCAAAAGGAATCTGTTTGGCTGAATATTTACATAAGCAATTTTTTTAACGCAAAAATTTTCACATCCCATCCAAATTAACACCCTGTGACAGGAGATGAGACACTCCTGTGCCAAAAACAAGCACAAATGATTCTTTGTAATTTAAAATGCCTTATGAATATATAAAAAAAATTCTGTGAGACATAAAGCATTACTGTCACACATAATTGTTTTTGATAGCACCTACAAAGTACTTGAATTTAAAGCAGTGGAAGCTACTGAAAGCCTATCAGGAATAGTGATTTGCTCTAATATTCCTTTTATCCACAACTTTTGAAAGGAACATGTATCTTGTGTTTTTATTTTAGCGAAGACAAACAAAGCTTTGCAGAAATCACACTTATGAATTAATTCCGTCCTCTGAGCTGCTTTTATTGGCATTCTGTACACATAGCCTTTCGGACAAACATTTCAATTTTTAATCTCATCTTTTCTGCCCACTACGTCACGCTCCTCCCAGGCCCACCAATCTTGTTATCTTAATGGATGACAGATAGAGTATCACTCTGACCATGCCACATTAGGCGTCCTCATTTACGGAGTGCAAGGAAAAAACGCTGAGTATAAATTATTCAGAAATCTATTGTATCAGCGTGTGTTCTCCGAGCATCCACCACTGGCAGAGCAGACAGATTATTTTTCACTTTTAATTGTGTTGATATCTTATCTGCTGCACTGAAAGCAGAGAGTGATACGTGAAACCACACGTATTAAGCAACAAATAAACCCAGTTTACTAGGTCCATTGCTTAGGACTAAATAACCTATTTAGTCAGTCTAACTTCAACACAGTGCCAAAAAACCCCACCTCATTGCACTCACCACTTACTTTTGTAGTATTCGCCCGGTAGTGTGTCAAAATTAAAGACCTCAGTACAGAGCAGTGATGCCTACAGAGAATATTAACTATTTCAGTGATACTTTAAATGCCATTATGCCACTGGTTATCTGAATACAAAGGTGGCCATTAAGGATGAGCCCTCAAGATAATATTAAGGGTTCAAGCTTATGAAGTCTTACAGAATTGTTAGCATGAACTGCTACCCTTACATATCTGACAGGGAATCTATACAACTCCCTCTCCTTCACTGTCCAGTTGATTTTGGCAAGACAGATGATTTAGAGCTCAAGTTCCGCGCATCGCATGAAGAGATGGATCATTTGATCTCAAAAACGTCTTAAAAATATTTTGCCAGCATAGGGCATGCCAAATCTTATTTGCAGATGTAGCGGGCTTACAAGTTGAAAACTTGCACTGCAAAACCA